CAGTAGCAGTAGCGGCAGTAGCAGTAGCAGCGGCAGCGGTAGTGGTGGTGGTAGTAGTAGCCGTCGTCGTCGCCGTCGTCGTGGTGGTCGTTGTCGTTGTCGTTGTCGTTGTCGTTGTCGTTGTGGTTGTCGTTGTTGTTGTCGATGTTGTTGTTGTTGTTGTTGCTGCTTTTGTTGTTGATGATAATGATGATAATGCTGATGCCGCCAAGCCGGAGGCAGTGGTCCACTTTGAATGCGCATCTTTGTTTTGAAGCGTTTGGCTTCAGCGCACGCTTCTTGCGTATCTGGAGGTCGCTGCCGTGTCTGCAGCCTTGACGGCGTTGGCATCCTTCGACCAGCTATCTGTCGCCCGGCCATGGGATCGAGACCTCCAACAGAAGATCTTGAAGCTCTGGGTGTGTTCTTTGCTCACTGCCACTCCCTGTAGTCATGGCAGAGAGCCCTGATGAGCCGTAACGTCGCCACTGCCAGGCAGTCAGCCTCTTCGCAGCTAAGGTGGTGGACCCGATGGATCCCACAGTGAAGCTTGGTGACTCCAAGAATTTCAAGTACCAGCAGCTTGTGCAGTCCCTTTGCTCATCCAGCACCCCATTTGTTCGCTTCTACTTCCTGCATCTTCCTACCGTGCACTCACGACATTGCTAGACCTGTCTCCTCTTTGTGATTTTTTTGTTTGGCGCGCCGTTGAGGTTGGCCACAAAGCACCTTTGCAGCAACAACGGGCAACACTTGGCCTGGCAACCAGGTAAGGGGTATACCGCCCCATACATTGGAATAGGGCAGGCTGGTGTGAGATGTTGTGAGCTCTCACGTTCATTGCGTCTTGCCACGGGGCAGCTTGTTTAGCTTCACCTCTACAGTTAATCTGAGGTCAGCCGGTCGATTGATGCAGTGAGTCGCTATGCTTGCTGTACTCGAAGATGCGCTTTTACGTGGATGGCTGCTGATTAAACGTCACAGCATGGGCGAAAAGCAGAAGGTCGTGTGCACTTGTGCCCCGCGTCCAGTTCCTTGTGGACCGTTCATGTAATATGATGCTGATCAAGTGAGAAATGCTGGAGCACTTGTTCAAACTCGTATGGGCAGTAGTGGCGCAATGGAACTTGCATGTTGCCTCATGGCTGGGTATTGCTACAATTGCTACGCGGCTTTCGTTGACATCTTCTGTGCATGAGAGCCGTGGTTCGATTGTAAGCACCACAACCACCTTTTGTGGTGTCGTGCAGGCAACAATGGTCGCAACGGCACGTGGCTCCAATCTTAGGTTTACCGAAACTTGGTGAGACATGATCCAGGCTGCAGAGCAGCTGCAACCGCTGCTGCCAGTAGGAGTATTTCAGGCTGCTTCCTTATTGAGCATCCAAGGATGCGAGGTAAGACTCACATTGCGAGGGAGCTCAAGCGGTACATTGAGTTTCTTGGCAGTCTTGGCATCCCTTGGGTGTTGGGTGTTGCGGTTCTGGCTTCGGGCGCTGGCTCCACCTGCGGTTGCAGCTGGTCAGTGGCATGGCATGCAGGCCGCACGGCATGGGGCAAGGCCAGATTCTGCCTCGCAATAACAGGTTCTTCCACGGCGCTCGGGCAGAGATCTTCTCAGTAACCGAGCGCCTTGGCGAATTACATCCGGTCTCCCCACCCGCGCACCGTGTCACGGGCCTAGTGAAAGAGAAATGTAGGGCAACGTAACTGCCACAGCCGAAGCATGACCTCCCGTCTTAGGAAATTCCTGCACAAAGTCTGGGTTTTACGGGGCGACAAGGCTTGTATGTTAAAACGCCGAGGGCCATAGTGTTGAACAAAACTCGCAGCGGCACAGTGCCCGTTCCAAAACACTTCCGGAGCTCTCCAAGTCTTGGCCTGGCTCGCCTCAAACGGAAACGCGGTGTGATAGGTTTTAGGGAGAGGTTGCTTTCAGTGCAATGATCATGTCGACCAGGTACATGGGTCCCGATGGTGAGGACAAGCTATACGAAGCGCTAAGCAGCGCCTGGGCTCGTGAGCCATCTTCGGTAGTTTGCCAGGTTTGCTTGGAGGAGGTGCTGTCTGAGTCTGCTGCATCACCCCGGGGTCCACGTGCTTTCTCCTGCTGAGGCTTCTTCGACGTGACGAACTCGCGCCTCGATGTGAGAAAGTGCAGATACCGGGATACCAGAAGACTTCGCGCAATTGATCTGCCAGACACAGCACTCCCCGTGACTGTAAGGCCAATTTCGGACCCCTACGACTTCGATCAGTGCCTGAGCCAGACAGATTGTACAAGTAGCAAGCAGCATGCGGTGTTTGGATTTGTTCCTCGTGCTTCAAGTGCAGCGGCGGCCGCAACTTTTTTAAATGGAGGTTTCGTGCGATTCGTGTGCTTCCCTTGTTCGATGTCCGCGAAGTCTTGCCTTGTAATGCGAGGTGTGGGGTCGAGGGTGTCGGCGGCTTTGCCATCATTCTCTCCAGCGACACGGTCCAATCTACGAAGTCAATGTGGAGACACGGCTGATATTGCTAGGCCACGCAACTTGAAATCAAGCTGCGATGTGTGATATGCCTGGCATGCATTTCCGAGTACGTCTAGATCGCCCAGCCCTGAGCCAAGCTACTTGATTCAGCTCCAGACCCCGCTGAGGAGTGCCCACACGAAGTGGCATCGGAAATGGATGGAGCAGTGCTTAGAACAGGATGCCCGTGGTGTACAAGTGTATTGCCGCTCCCACTCCCGAGGCTCGGAAGCTAGAGGATGAGCTGCAGGCAGAGGCCTGCAGCACATGAGCTGGGTTCGGCACCTGCGGGCGGGCTCTGCGAGCTCTGTGGTCGAGGTCTGCTTCATCCAAATCTCGGTTGACAGCCCGAAAGGCTGGTTGGAGCCGTGCTAGAGCAATCGGTGGGAGTGCAGGAGAGCTTCACTTCTTGAAGTTGCTGTGAGCTTTGTGAGCTTGAGCCTTTGCAGAGGTGAAAAGTACTTGTCAGACCTTGCGGCCTACCGCGGCATGACCCTGGAAGAGAGCAGGGACCTGATTGCAGAGTACCAGGACATTCACGAGATCCCAACTGTCAAGTCGGAGAGTGGTAAAAGTTCGAGCGGCAACATTTAAAGGCTGCAGCGCATGCTTACTTCACCGCGACGTGGGATGAGTTGTCACACCGGACGCTGGCGAAGGTTTTTTCAAGGCTTGAACTTCTTTTCGGAGACATCCCGTGAGGACCATTATGTGCCCATCCAGATGGACCAGTCTGAAGACCAGACTCCTTTCATCCATCTCATGAGCCTTCGGCTTGTGACTTGAGGTTTGGGAGGTTGATTTCACCCAGGCAAGTCGTCCGACGGCATGTAACTCTTGTGCATTCATCCCAGGAACTACAACCAGAAGATGGCCACTCGGCATTCGTCAACGGGGCGGCTACAGCTTCCGATTCACAACCACTCAATATAGGAAGCGGATAAACTTTGCTCTAAAAAGCTTCATGCACCACCAAATACGCAGTGCACCGACCGAGTATTATTGTCGAATTCTTCGGCGGCTTGTGGAAGGATTGCCCAGCCTCAGCATGATGCAGCGACAGTGCACCTGATTCGGGACCCCCATCCCCAATGCACGCAGTCTGGTGGCACGGTGAAATTGCACACCCCCCTAGGTCGTGAACAAGATGATGCGTTCGTTTGTTGGATCGCAGGTTTGCTGCTCGCCTGCGTTTTTTTGGGCAGTGTCAAGTGGTGTCAACTGAGTGTGAACAGTGATGCCCTTGCCATTGCGAAAGCCTTGCGTGGCTTCAGCTCGCCTTGCCTGGAGGCCACTTCCTGTCGAACCTGCACCCTTTCCAACACACAGTCTACCTTGCCAGACACGGAGAAAGTCGCTTGACTGAAGAAACTGCAGAAGTAGTAGCCGAAGCATGGTCGTTAGATATTCACAACCATGCATCTGCACGTGTGACATGACTCGTCGGTTTGCTTGCGACTACCCCATGTCAGTTGGAATGGCGGCAAACTGCCCGCGCCTGCATTCGGAGTACCGACATGTGATGTACATGTGCTTGCCATAGATGTGGAAGTCTTTCGGCTGGTGCCTCAGATTGATGCACCCGCCAGTCATACTCTGCTTTCGTAGCCTGATTGCCAGGTTATCGGTTGGTGACAGCCAGGTTATTTCGATAAGGTTGTATGCAGGTTGAAATGGCTAAGTTCCTTCGGTTTCCTTCGGTTGGCATAATTAGAATAGTGGCTGTTCTGCGGGATGAGTTGGGTCGTTCTTCCTGTCGCATTGTCGTTGTCGTTGTCGAACTTGAAAGCTCCCTGCAAGACTATGCATGCATCCTAGGTGATTTCAATGTTGAAATGCGCATTGGCGGTGACTCCGGTCTCTCGCGGCGGGGTGAGGAGTTTGCGCGGCGAACAGCCGAATTTGCTCCTCGGAGAGCATCGCATTGTTGAGAGGCCATGTTGCCAAGCGGTTCTTTTCAATGGCAGTCGGTGCGGTGTTAAAAACACTCGAGTTGAGATGCGCGATTTTTTGTTGCAGCCAAGGTGAAGTATGTGGCAGCTGGGATGCATGTCGCTTTTAATTTTCATGTCTGGCGTCTGCCTATCCAGCCTCCCTGGCTGACTGACTTAGAGATCGTGCAAAAGGTCTGTGGGCATGCGAATGACTTGGTGTGCGTCACCTTGACGGCCAAAGATGTGGCAGCCCCAGGCCCCAGGGGACGAGCCGCTTAGATGTTCCGAACTTTTCTTAGCAAGTTCCTTTCCGGCAGCAAAGCTGGAGACAAAGGCGACCTTTGGCCATGTCGCTGAGATTTGAGGGTGGTACTCCTCATGCAAAGGACACATTCAGGCTTGACGTGTAATTCCTTGGATCTGCCGGATCCTGGCATACATGTGCTGCGAAGCAAGTCAGGATTGCAGATGAGAGGTGGTGAGAAGATTTGGATGCAAAGTCATGTAATGTAAAGGTCGACGTGGTCTCGCTGAGTCCGCTGAGGTCCCGAAGCTCCGCGACTGGATCATCGAGCTCAAGAGGCACCGAACCGAAACTTACTCTGGGTTCACGTACGTATGCGTGCCCCGACCGGTGACTCCTTGAGCCTAATCCATGGCCAGCTTGAGAGTGGGAAGAAAAGGTAGTCCATAGTCGATGCAGGAACATCGTCGCCACCAGAGACTGGGCGGATTTTGGAGATGCAAGTGGCGGCGTCGTGCGAAGGCACACAAATTCGTGCGGCAAGCTTCATCCGGGTTCTCCCCCATGCCCCATAAGCCCATGGCCGATCAATTTTTCAGGCTCTGGGACCGTGCGGGAGGATGTAGAACCCAGTAGACAGCAACCGTTGAGCAGGTTCATGCAGCTCAAGAGGATGCAGGTGGGAAGCAGCAAAGTGGTCGCATGTTGGTGACAGTTCAGAGCGCGGCGCCGTCAGTAGCAGGTAAATGCTCTTACAGGGATCCACTTATCCTGCGGTTCGTTCGTGCAAAGCGTGCAGATCGGCTGGGCCGCGGACTTCGAGGACACTCCCAGCACCGTGCAGGAGTGAGAGGGAAACGGCGTGGGCAGTGAGTACTCGGACTCGGACGCCGGGTCGGTGCAGTGTTCGAGTTTGCCGTAAACGGAGGATCTCTTGCGGAGGCTAGATGGGGCCAAGGCCGAGGATTTCCTGTCGACTTGTTAGACATGTTCCGCAGAGCTCTGCAGGTGGTGACGCTGGTTTTCGTTGGCGGGGACACATCTGGGGCCGGAACTGTGCCAGAGGCTCAGCCAGGCTCAGAAAGTCAAATGAGCTGTGAGCTGAGGAGGAGAGGTCAGTGAAAGACCACTGAGCTGACAATTCAGTGGCAGTGGTCGAAGTTCACTTCTCTATGGGACCCTGGGACCCGCGTCGCACCCAAGGCCTGGGCGGCTGTGGACGTCTTCCTTGCGCCGCACCATCGAGACGGCTCAGTTTATCGAACACCCCATCCTGCCAGCAGGCACCCGTGAACGTGGCTATGCCGGGCTTATTCAGACGACTTATTTTTTGAGCTAGAAGAGTTGGTCTCTTGCAAGCAAAGCTACTTCCAACATGCTGGAGAAGACATGTCCGCGAGGTTTGATGACTGACGGCAAGCCGTACTACCAGATGAGAGGGCGACAGTTCAGGCGTGCCAGCAAAAGTTCAGCATTGCTTCGGTGCCACAGACATGAGTGGAGATGCGAGGAACATGGACGAGGTTTATGCTGGTGAGTATGATGGTCTTACAGAGGAGGCAGGTTCGGCTGTTGCATTCCCCTGCAACTAGTCAGTGGCCAGTGGCCTGCTGCAGCAGCTCTCGCAGGAGATCACGAAAAGAGCCCCAAATGTCATTTCCGATCGAAGCTTGGACTCAAGAGGGTTGGCTGGGGTCTGCTTGGAGTTGCCTGCTCTGAGCAAGAAAGAGCTCAAATTTGCAAGAAGAACAATAAGAGTAGCATGGTGCTGGGCGTGGTTTGAGAAAGGGATGTTTGCTGGTCGTTTGCTGACCAGGAAAGCGGGACAAGCTTGGCTTCAGGTATCCCCGTGGCGAATCTTACTACGATGCCCAGCTGCAGCAAGAGACATTCCCAACAGTAGGCGCCGGAAACCAACACCAGGAGTGTGTACCGCTATTCAGATGGCCGCTTGAACATGGATCTATCTTCGCCAGAACAGTGCTCTAAGGACATCATTGCGCGGCACGGTTCTGAGGACTTCAAATTACCGTTACAAAGCAGGTCTGTATGTGCTGCCTGAGGCTCGAGTCCGTGATGTCGCATTTGGAGCGCATCCAACAGCCCATCCTGATCATCTCGCACCAGGCTTGTCATTCCATTGTCGTCTGCATGCCTTTCAACCCAGCGGCCGAATCTACTTTTGAAAGACAGCAACACGGCAGTGCAAGAGAGTTTGGGCAGGCAGTCCTTCGGCTGATGTACGGCTGGCTGATGCACAAGACTCGAGAGGACTCCGTGGAAACCCAGGCCTAGAAGCAGAAGCTCATTGTGGACATGATAGATTAGTGACGTGATGTATTTAGAAGAGGTTGCAGGACCGATGGCTGCAGACTGCTGCAGACCTACATGTGCTGCATGTGTTGCACTCTAGCCTGAGTAGGGCAGCCGCGAGTGTCGGAATGTCACAGGTGCCGCAGCACGAAGTGGCGGCCTCAACAGTTGCAGTCAACGATGTTTGAGAAGCCAATGTGCCAGGCAACCACGCATTCAGGGCCATTCTTTTGGCTGCGACAGAAACCGTTTTGCCGTACTGGTAGGGCGCAGGAGTGCAGACAGAGGCTCCTGTATTTCCTGGGTCTGTACATGTCTTTTGAGTTTGAGGTGGTAAGAATCTGCTTCGACGGTCTGGGTGGCGGGCCTGCCTCGGCCCAAGCCGTAGGCGCGACACGTGAGATGCAGATACATGCAGTGTGCTTCAGTTGGCCTTTAGACAAAGCAGTTCCGAAACTCAGACCAGCCTTTCCTCCATCCGTTCGCCTCGGCAGTCTCTGAGGTTGAGACGCGATTTCCATTAGGGCCCACGCATTTGACCGACGATGGGCAGTCGAACCTGTAAGGAGACCCGCAGCGCGTCAGAACCCTCGGAAAGACTGAAAGTGTCTCGTAACCTCTCCTGCATGCAAAGCTGAGACCACAGGACATTGGTGAATATGCTGAAGGCCAAAGACCTGTTGCAGATTTTGGTTGGTGCCACCAGTACACTGACCTCGAAGAGAGTATGAGTGTCCATCCCCAAGTACGACAAGGAGCTATCTGTTTGAGCTACTTACCGAGCAAGGCGACACTCCTACTCTACTGTAAACCCTCACAATTTTTTTTAATTTGCCTGCGACCGGTCCATGTTCAGACAATGCAGACCCAAGATGCACTTCAAGTCTGTCTTGGACAATGACGCGGGCAGGTAAGAGGTCAAAGCAGGAACAATTACTATCAATCAAGAAAGCTTGATCCATGTAGCAACAAAAACCACCTGCTTTGCAAGTTATCTATATTAGGCGACTCCTGTTTCACTTAGAGCTTTCACGGCACGGCCTGGCACGCTGGAGTGGCCTACCGTGGCCTACCTGTTCATCCCGTATAGAGCCTGCTTTGCGATCGGCTTTTCTGGTGCGGTCCACGGCCGAACTATTTGTGTTCCGAGGCGCTGTTTGACTCCTTCCCTCAGCGGGATGGGACGACGGAGACCGCTGGAGTTTGATGATCTGACAGCCGACAACAGATGCTATAGGTATACATCAGGCGCCCAAACGCTGCATTCTTGTGAGGCTGTTCTCCAACTCTGCGCGATCTTTCCATTTTCTGCCATCCGTGGGTTTGAAAAGCCATAGTTTTCACATCGCGCCTGATCGCTTTCCAAGACGCGAAAATGAATTGGGCGTGCCTTGCCGAGCGTGACTGCACCGATGGTAACCTGCCGCTCAGTTTTCAGCGTAGCTGCCTGTCTATGCCCATCTTGCGCGAACAGTCTAGAGTTGCGAGGGCCGTGGAGAGAAGTAAAGATGCAGAAACTGAAAGATCTAAAATGATGCACAGGGTCACGGGGCTCTGATTACCGAAGTGGCCTTTGCAAAGGGAAAGTTGCGACCGGAAGCACCAATGATTCATGTCACGTAAAGCATGAACATCGTAGGAGAAGCAAGTTTCAAACTGTTTGGCTTTCACGCCTAGGAACATGCCGGAGCAAGCCGTGTCATGCTGTCCGACGTTACACCAATTCTCGCCAAATGGCCCGGCAATGGCGCAGCATGGACGAACTGCTTGCCAACACCCAAAGATCTCGGCGATTGCACGACAACGAGCAAGAGACTGACGTGCGCATCAGATCTGTTTCTGGAGATGTCGTCGATTTAGCAGGATGCCCCTCGTCGCCAGCAGGGTGTTACGAAGGAGACAGGAATGTGCACGAATTGGGTCTCGGCCTTGGCTTGACCTACTGGAAGTAGCTTTGTAAGCTCAAAGGGGTCGGTCTGACCACCCTGCCAACCTCAAAAGCACATCGTTTGGAACCATGATGCCTTGACTCCCTGTATCGTATCGCTCCAAACCCTGATCTTGCCATGCTTCTGTCCGCAGAAAGTATTGCACCAGGTGTGCGGAACAATGGAAGTAATTTTGCAAGAGCAATTCGAGCCTGTGGCCGCTCTGCCGGACCATCGTGCGACGCTTCATGCTGTCTTCCTTGGCTTTGCAGACACGACTTTTCATCGGGAAGCGAAGCGATCCGTAAGGCAGTTCTAGTTCTAATTTTACCGTCGTCAACAGCATTTAGAACCCTTTTGCGCTTGGAGCGTTTCGGCTGTTGGGTCGACTGGGTTCTTGGCTACAGGACTTGCGAAGGCGTTCCAGAAGATGTTCTCGTGCTCTGACGCTGCGTTTTGTTGCGATTCAGGGAGCCTCAGCTTTGCGTGAATCTGAGGCCACGGTGCTTGACATGCAGAAGGCCAATTCTTATCAGAGGGTTGATGATTGGAGGGTTCAACATGTGTGCATGCATGCATGCATAAGTTCACGCATCTCGCATATGTACATGTGCAAGTATGTATGAATGTATGCATGTATGTATACATGCATTCATGCGCGTATGTGGATGTGTGTATGTATGCATGGAAGGACGGATGTATGTATGCATGGTTGCAATGCGGAGAACGTGTGGGATACACCGCTGAAGATGTTCGCAACTGTTCGGCTAATGCTTTCTCGGAGCCAACGAGCTCTGCCGTCTGAAACTAGGCTTCTCCCCAAGCCTCGCCTGCAGCGTCGAGTGCGAGTGCCTGGGAAGCTACCAGCAGCTCAGCAAGTTTTGATAAACAGACAGCACCAGACCCGGCAGGATCGGCTCATGTTTCAATGTGATGAATGAGCTGACGAAAATGCATAATGCTTTTCAAGAGTTTCGTACACAGACCTGAACAAAATGTGATCTGTGCGTTACAAGGAAGCAATGTGATTCGTGTAGAAAATGAGAGACGCCACAGAGCCTGTTCCAACTATACTAAACGAGTTTGACCGATTTCCGACTTCACTGGTGGTACAGACTCTGGATGACAGGACACCGTCTTACAAGCTTGCGAAGTTCTCGCGGCTGTCATGGAGAGTGCGAGGGAGAACGGACACTGAGTCAATAGGAGCTGTCAAGAGGTCAGGAGCAGCTGGTAGCGGGAGAGAGAAGAGAGAGGGAAATGCAATGAATCGAGGATTCAGGCAGGGCAGAAGCTACTCGCATTCTGGAAAGAGCAGGTGCAGCCTGAGTTTTGGCAAAGCAACTTGCAGTAGGCCAGACTCTCACTTGGCGTGATGGCGCTGCCTCCGATCTTCGTGGATGAAGCTGGGCAAGACAGGCATATCCTGGATTGGGGGGCAGGTTTAGTCATTCATGCTGTTGATGGCTCGGATCCCTCACATCCCTGACTTGGTTCAGCATCCTGGATGTTGCTGTTGATGATGATGCGGTTGATGACGAAATCACGCTCGTGGATTGAGGGTGTCTTTTCGCCTGCTAGGTTCCAACTTTCGGACACCCACTGCAACCAAGCCAACTCTTGCAGAAGCGCACCCCCAACAACATGGTGTTCAAGCAAGGCGGCTGTGCCCCAGGCAAATCCATGGAGCCCCGAAGCAAAAAATGGTTGAACACCTTGCAGAAATCCCAAATTCGGTGAACAACACACTGTTCCGGCTAGTGTTCTGTGCCTGATGATCAAGGAAGCACCTTCCCCAAACATAGCCATAGCACGAACCCCACAAAAGCAACGACGCGAATCAGGTGCTCCTAACTTGCGCAAGGAATGTCCGACTTCAACCACACTCCAGGAAGGCTGCTTAGGAAAGCCAGGGATGGCGCAACCGATATACTCGACGCTTAGGTATCCGTGCATTTGGCGAGACGCGTGAGCACTTCGCCCAAAAAGCTTGTAGCTGTTGCTCTTGCTGCTATGAGGTTTTTTTATGCTGTTACTCCAGGTTGCGTTCCGGCCGCTGCTCAAACTCGGCAACAATCCCACAATCCTGGATGAGGTGGGCGTCTTCGTGTTGATGTGATGTCTTAAGACATGCTGTTACAAGAAGTGTACCAGTGTAACATCAGCGGCAGCAAACATAATGTTCTCTTGTTGCTCTCATGCAGCGGCCGATCTCCGAAAAGCGCTAAAGACAAGAAGCCAAACCGAAACGCTTGTTGCGATTTGGGCTCGAGTTTGCAGCTCCTGCTTTCGACTTTGACGTAGCCGACGTAGCCTCAAGGTAAGCATCATGAAGTTCTCCAAGGCGATCGCAGTTCTGGGCTTTGGCCTTGCTGCAGCACAGAATGATCGCCGCCATCGCTCTGAGTTGCTTCCACGCGTTGAGGTGGAGAAGCTTGGTGTTGTATGGCGCGGCAATGCCTCGACACATCAAAGCTCCCACGACTTGCTTGAGGCAACAGAGATGCCCTCGGATTTCAGCTGGTGCAACAAGGATGGCAAAAGCTACTGCACCATGTCTCGGAATCAGCACATTCCGCAATACTGCGGATCATGCTGGGCCCACGGCGCCATTTCCGCTCTGGGTGATCGCATCAAGATCGCACGCAAAGCGCAAGGAATCGACATCAACCTTGCAGTTCAGCACCTGCTGAACTGCGGTGGCGTGGGCACATGCAAGGGCGGCAGTGTCGACGGCCCATATCAATGGCTCATGGAGATCTCCAAGAAGGGCACCGGAATCAGCTACGAGACCGCCAATCCTTACGTTGCCTGCACTTCCGACTCCGATGAGGGCTTCTGCAAGTACGTCGACACGTCGTGCAAGGCACTAAACGTGGCCCGGACCTGTGGAAGCTTCTCTCAAGAGGGTGGTCCTTGCACCGGCCTTGGTGAATTCCCCAATGCGACAATTTCGGACTACGGCTCCATCTCTGGTGCTGATGCCATGATGAAGGAGATCTTCCATCGCGGTCCGATTTCGTGTGGGGTGGATGCCAACCCGCTGCTCAACTACGAGTCTGGCATCATCAAGACGAAGGGCGAGGGTGTCGATCACGTCGTGTCAGTGGTGGGCTGGGGAACCGATCCGAAGGACGGTTTTTTCTGGATCGTAAGCTGTGCTCAGAAGCATGCCACGTGCCGTTGATAAGATGCGCCAGCCGGCGCCTGACTAAGTCCAGACGTGACTTTGCATGCAGCGGGTCTCTTGAGATCTTCTGTGTGTGAGTGGACCAGCTGGATCGTAAGAAACTCTTGGGGCGAGTATTGGGGGGAAATGGGGTACTTCCGCGTCGCCAAGGGTGCGCTTCTCCTGGAGGACCAGTGCTCTTGGGCGGTGCCTGCGACCTTCACGGCTGCGGAGAAGAACAATCAGGTGCATTGCCACGAGGGCGGCGACAATTGCAAGGCGAAGGATGCCGAGCAGATGGTCGTCTGAGCCGAGGGTATGTATGGGCCAATAACTACTCCCTGATTCCGGCAGGTGCACTCTGGAGTGTAACATCATGATTTTGACGCATTTCTTGGTACTCCCTGTTCGATGTCGTGCTGGAAAGCTTCAGGGAAGCTCGTAGCCGTCGTAACCTCTTTGCGCACATCGCTTCATTTGAGGATCGTGTGCGCTCCGACGAGCTCAAACCTGCTAGCGGCAGCTGATGGTGCATGATTGGTCCCATCAGCGCCAAGAGGGCTGAAACAAATGCAGTGCTTCCCTGCCATGTCCGAGGTGTGAAGTGTTGGGGTTCGCACTCCGATTCCGTAGGCCAACGCGTACACGAAGCATTGGATGCTGCGCAGGCGCGAGCCGAGACATGAAGACAGAGTTTGAAGAAGGACGTGGATGACAACATGTCTCAAGTCAGAAGCTTATCAAGCTCCAAGTTTGAAGGCTTCTCTGCTCCATGGCTTGTCCTCGAACCAGGAACCGCTGCTAGTTCAGCAATTCGCGATTCGGGCGGCTCCAGTTTGCTAAGCAGTTGGCAATGCCATGCACTTCGTTGAAGCCTCGTTTCGCTGAAAATTAGATGAGACGTATGGCGAAGTCTGGACCACTTTTCTGTCTTCCTCCATCTTGTTTTTCGGTGTGTTCTGTGTTCTCTCCATGACTCCATGGTCTTCGGATTCGGCTTTCGGCACACTGCACTTGTTCCGGTCTTGCCAGCTCCCGCCAAGTGCCATCGCCAGTGGCCCAAGTCCCAAGTGTGCAGAAGTGGCCCAGAGGCCTGGAGCTGGTGTTTGGGGCTGGATCGTCTTGGAATTGACGGGGGCGTCGTGGCTTGGCACTTACAAATCCCTGCACACCGGAGCCGAAGTCTGGAAACTCGTGCCAGGAATCTATGACATTCCGTACAAACGACGTCTGGGCCATCCGCATGATGAGTGACCCTCGGGGCTCTCCAGTGCCAGAGGACCTTTCAGTGCGCGGGGACTGGGCGTGCGGGCTGAAGCGCTGACAAGAGTGCTAGCTCTTGCCCAACCCACCGCTGCAGGAATTCGGAGGTCTCTTGCTGGGGATGTCCTTGGTGCAAGTCCCAAGTTGTGCGTCTCGGTCGCATGAGCAAAGCAGTCAACGAAGTCACTACGAGCATGTGAGGCCCAAAGGCTACAGGACTTAAGGTTGGAGCTGAGATCAAACATGCACGTCGTGTCGAGTAAGCCCAGCACATCAATACCGCCCTGAGGCACGTGTCAGCTGCACCCACACACCCCGAAGCGATGCTTACTGACCCGGCCATTCTACGGCGAGTGGATGCAGAAGATGGGGTGCCGCAGGTTATGCCCAACTCTTCACCCCGAGCCAAAGTGCTCAAGGAGCGCCTGGCGCCTGACCAAACCGCATCGTCTTGCGAGGTGGTAGCGGATGCAGTTGCTTGGGTTTCTGAGCTTTGCCGTGCCATTCCAAATGCGCCCTCAGAGGTTTCAGCCTGTCGCTCGCACTCATGGTCGTGAGTCGTGAGCAAGCATTGCCAACATGCATAGTACCACGGACAAAAAGCTATAGGGACAAGATCATTACCTCCTTGCCACATAATTCATGTATTGAGAGCATCTGAAACCAAGCCGTAACGGCACATGATTTGCGCACTGAGACTGTTTGCCATGTCGCTGGCAGTCGCATGAACAAAGGCCTGGTACTTGCGGCTTTGACTGTGAGTGGCATGCGTGCTACTACCACGAGTTGTGCTGGCGAGCCTCCTCGAGTCTTGCAGCTTCAGTGGTGCAGGCCATGTGCCAAGGGCACCAATCAGCCCGGCGTGGATGCAACAGGCGATCCTGCCACAAGCAAATCAGAATCCGAAACACAGTGGTCCTGCATTGCATGCGCATGCCTCATTATTTCATTAGGCCTGCTGATTTTCAGAGATCACCCTTGCTGAGGGCACCACGTGGCAGAGCCCTAGCAGGAGCAGGCGCAAAAGGCCAGGCCAGTCTCCAGTTAAAACACACCGACGGGTTCAGTCGTACAAACCCGCTCCCAAGCTGTCAAAGTCGCAAATACCAGGCATGCATCCCAAATCACCCGACGTCAGTGCGAAGTATTACTGGAACACTCAGATCTCTGAATGCACTCTTGCCTGCAGGGGATCAATTCGGTGCAAGCCTTTCCTTGACTACAGCTCTCTCTGATACTCGCTCTAGATCAACAGCTGACTGATAGCTAACGATCCCGACTGACATCCGTCTTTGTAAGGGACCGTATACGTCCCACAGGCAGCGAGGCCAGCCCTTTGACTTACTTGGAGTTGGAACTGTGCATTTAGGGTCCGGGAATTATTCGTGATTGGAAATCTTCCAACAAAACACATCGACGTGGCAGTCTGTTTGTGCGCGGGACATGTCCTGACATCCGACTGCTCTGGCCTGGGTGGCATGCAGCAGTTTCAAGATTAAAATCAAAAGCTCGAATGCCATGCAGCCTTTCGCTTTGGGCGAGAGGACTCCTGCAGCGGCGGCAGCTCAGCGAGTACGGAGCCCAGAGCCGCCGACGGCAGTAGACGAGAACTTAGAAACACCTGTACCTCCGAGATGTGTAGTAGCACCAGAGGTTCTTACGTTCAAGCGTGGAGAAGATTTCTTGCGGCCGGCACTCACGCGCGCTGTAGTTGGACATCCAACATCTTTCAACTGAAATTCCAAGTCCCGCTGCGGCTGCGTCAGCGAGTTGATGGCAAATACTTTGGAAAGGGGTGCCGTTTTGAAGTCGAAATTACTCATCCTGCCATCAAGTTGCTCGAAGTCCCGACAGTCGCAGCATGGCCATACAAGTTGCCCCCACGAAACACCGCTGTTCTATGAGTCCTGTGCTCCCGTGTGCGGAGCGCATCCTCAAACCACCACACTCCCACCACAGTCTCTATGTCTCGAGGTGCTCTACTGGAGGACATCCGGGTGACGCACTCGACTTTTTTGTGCCTAGCTCCACATGCGTGCTGAAGAGATTCGTCTCCTTAGACAGGGCCGAGCAACAAAAGCATGGATGCCAATGTTGCACCTCAACCTTCTGCAGAAGTTTAGCTGCGGGCTTCGAAGATTTCGCGTGGCTGCTCGAACTTTGAGCTGCCTTTGTGAGGTTGCCACTGAGGGCTATCGAATAGACTCTGCCAGGTGCGGCCCCCGTGGGGACGGGGGGCAAGGTCATCCATTATCGGCTTCTCTCTGCACAGCGCAAAGAAGACATGATGTCCAAGCTGTAGTGGCTGTCGTTCTCCAGGGCAACAGCCGCGCTGCGACCTCTACGTGAGGTTGTGAAGCAACTCCGTGAGGACCTGTTAATCTTCCTGGCGCTAAGGATGAAGCCCATATACAGCCCAAAAAACTACAAGAGTCGGGTCAATCACGAAACATCAGAACGAAAGGCAAACCACTGCTGAATCGTTTTCGGGTGCAACAGTGTGCCTCTCGCCCAGGATAAGTTAGGCGTCTCAAGAGCAAGCCTTTGCAAGCCTTACAGTACCTGCCGTCTTTAGGCTTCGGAGGGGTCCCGAGCCTGTAATCAAAGCTGTCGTTCTCAGCTCTTGGGGGCCCTTCATTTGGAATCCACTGAATAGGGTTTTGGGGTATGTTATACTTATTGTGCTATGCTTATAATAACAACCCCCCCCCCCCACCAACAAAGTTTAGGTAATTATGTCATGGGGCTCCCGTGCAGGTTGTCTAGCCCACGATCGGCTTGAGCCTTGCATTTCGCCCGATCGGCTCAGGTAGTAGGCAAGCTTGAGATGCTGTGCTGATAGAGTTTCTCAATAGATGGCGACACAACCGTATCCTGTTTTGAGTCGAGGTTTAGGAGGGTTGGAGGGCAAACCTTACGGCAGGAATTGCATGTGAAAGAATGGCGTAGTCTTTCGCGGCAGGCCAACACGAGAGAAAGTATGAAGCTCTTGACTAGAGTCCGCTCACTGCACCAATAGACGCTCTGCGAAGCGGCCCCTGGCAGCGCAGCCCAGGCTGGGAAGTTCTGTGACAAGGGAGAAATGTGACAAGAGAATGTAGGGGTTGCCATCTTGCTTCCACCGAGATCCTCTGAGTCTGTCTGCATGTACATGGGATCCAGGATTGTTTTGCACGTTCTGCCGTTAGTGTTCGATGCTTCTTTGAAGAAGTTGCAGGGTATTTCCTGCATTGCATCGACAGGCTTTTCACCGTTTGCTGTCTGCGTCCCTTCACATCGCAAATGAAGCCAGGGCAATGGCAAAGCATCGTGGCAACAAAATAAGCGAGTCGCCGCCGCTGCTGCGTGAGCAGGAAGGCCGGATTTAGGGATTGCTCGAAGACAGTCTCTCACAATTGCCGACATAATTGACGTCGATCATTTGCAGTATACGCAGGTGGTGTCTTTAAATTTTCGAACCTAGGGAAGTCTCGAACTCAGCAGTACAAGTTGACGAGCATTCTGCACGACAGTCTCTGGCAACACCTCGATTGGAGATGAAGCACTGCATGTCAAAGCTTTCAGGACTCTCTGCGGAGAGCTGCACCCAGTCCCGTGCAACATCAATTTCAGGCCCAAACAATCTGCGCAGCTTGGAGGGCTACCGGCAAGACTTGGTCCAAAGCTCGGCCTATGATGATGGTGTGGATGGTTGAAGACAGGGAGCTGTAAGCGAAAACAGCAGCTTACCACGACACGCAACACAGTGCCGTCAAGTGCCGAGCTTCAGGCCATCCTCAATGTACGCATCGAGCGAATTCTGGAGGCTGTGGCTGCAGGATGCTTGATTGTTCGGCTTCCCCCAACTCCGGCTTTCCATGCGCACCACATATAGCACAGAGCCTCAAGGGGAGGAGGAGGAGGAGGAGGGGGAGGAGGGAGTCCAGGACGTTAGTGTTAGTGCATCACTGAAAGTCGCAGCTTCACAAAGTCTCTCCCCCAGGCTCAGACGGAGAAGGTGGCTGTTGCAGCGGCAGAGGCCCAGTGTTGCCATACTACGGCTTATAGACTGTATACGGCTGTAGATGACTGTAGAGTCTGGAAAACGATCCAATCAAACTAGCTGGCTCCTGCGGGTTCCCCGAAAAAAGCCACAGAAGTTGGATCGCAAGCGCGCTGAAACTTGGCAAGCATTATCCATGTCCTTGAAAGGCATGTCTTATCTAATCCCTGCGCGCGAACTTACGTATGTCCGCAGATGTTGTCGGGCTCGAGATCCAGCCCGGACGAGTAATGCGGCCGAAGGTCGCAACACTCGTCTTCCATCCTGTTCTCCTGGGCTGCTTTTGGTTTATCTTGGCGGCAGCCCGTGATCTGTCAGTCGAGATCACGGGAACTGACACTGGTGACTGCACGACGCCGTGTAGAACCTTAGACTATGCCATCCGACAGCTCTCCTCAGGACCTTGTGCCAGGGATATATCATCTGGACATAAAATCTGCAAATCGCAGACTGATACAGCCTCCATGTTGCTGTTGTTCATGTCACCATACCCTGTTAGAAGTTCATCATTCCTTCGCAAGGAGATCGCATCAAAGTCGGCGTCGGAACATTTGCGGGTTCTTCGAACCGCAGCGCGGCATTCTTGTCATGGTGTGTGTTTGTGTGTGGGATGCTTGACATCCCTACTCTGCTGTCAGATTCTTTAAGCGACAGTCCCTACGGCCCCAAACCCCCGCGCAAAAACCCGAAACATTCACTGACAGGCAACCTCAGTCCCGGCGACCTTGGCAAAGCCAACTTCTCGATCGAAGGCTACGACACGGATTTGAGCCCCGGGTCGCAGTTACGCTTTTGGGAAGTTCTCTCAGCAAAACTATCAGACAAGAAGCAGATGGGTTGACTGCAAGCATAGACAGACGTGGTGCTCGTAAAAGGAAGGGTACCAATGCATGGGAGAGTGTCGATTGCATTGTGTCGACGTGGACGGGCAGATCGTGGCTCAAGCCTTTGCGAATCTATAGGTTGCGGGTCGGAGACTTCTTTGTCGACGAGTTGAACAGTTCACAGGTCAATGCTCCTACATGTACATGAACAAGCAACTGATGAACGAAGTGTAGCAGACAGTGCCGCCAGGTGCAACCTGACTCACTTCCACAAATCAGGCAGACCCAAAAATCTACTACTACTCTTTCTGCTACTGATGGAAAAGTCTTGCTGCGGACCAACACATCTTCGACACGTACCCTGCGCTCAGCAAGTGGAAGCCTGAAGCAGTCTGCGAAGAGAAAACCGACGGCTCAGGACCATCTTTGATGTGGAGAGGGCTGGCCGCTTCATGTACCCAGGGCAGTGGGAGCTGTCAGGTCGTTTAGGACGCGTTTTGCGTCTCGGTGCACTGGAGCAGAGCACAGGTACCTAGATGCAGCTGCTGGGGAGGTTGTGATTCAGAAGCTGACAGTCCGCAACGGAGACTGTTCGGCTCTTCCCGGCGACACGATGCTAGCCTTTCCAGCTCTCTAGCACGGGTTTCAGGGAAAACCTAGCCGTGTCCCAATCGCCGAAAGCCTTCAAGCTCTCAGGCAATGGCGCTGGATTCAAGCTTGTGCAATCTCCCGCCAAGCTGCGCGACATCCATCTAAGCTGCCTGGATGCAGGGCCCATCAGAGGCCCATGCCGTAAATTTGGGATCCGCTTGTCGATGGACCAGGTCTGCGGTTTAACCCTCTTCCTGACGACATGCCTGCACCTAAGGGGACATGGACTGTAGCTTCGGGGAGACTCTTCCTCGAGAGTTTAACGGCGGTGGCCTATACCTTGTGGATTCGACGGCCTCGGTGCAAAGACTGCGAATTACAGATCCTTGTCTGAGTGCAGCAGGTCCTTAACTCAGCGTTTGTGCCCTTGTTTCGATGAGGATTCCGTGGGGAACCATGGTGCTGGTGTGGCGACTTGGGGAGCCGATTTCTCCGTTATTGAAGACTCCATCTTCGAACGGCTGCAGGGACTGCGCTGGGGTGGAGCTCTGCTGACGGAGGAAGATTCCCATACCGAATTTCATCGCTGCCGGTTCTCTCACTGCTACTCTCCCTACGGGGGCGTGCTGGATGATGGAGGTCAGGCTAGCCCGCTCTTTGCGGACTGTGTCTTCGACCAGGCAACAGCGCTGCACGGCTCTGCCTACTATGGCTATGGTCGCTTGTCTGAACACAAATCACGACAGCTCGCGTAGCAGAGCTTGAGTTTAGTCTTGCTTTCAGCAGGGAGGCAGTCCAGGGCCAGAAACCAGTGTATTATTGATAGTATCAATTTAGGGGGGGGCTAAATTGAACGGTTCATACGAAAGCC